CGGCGGATACCTTTGCTTTGATGTTCAAATCTTATTTCATTACCTGCTCCTTTCGACATTACATTTGTATAGAAGTATACAGATACACATTATGTTGCATTATAATTATTACTTGCAGGTTGAGTCTTTTATTATCGTGTGCTATGGACTTTCATCATTTCCCACTGGATCAGCAAAAATGCGAGATGGAGATGGAGTCATGTAGGTCAAAGAACAAGACATTGCTTTTTCAATTAAACTTTATTTAATTATTAGCACTATATCTCATTGAGTTTCTATCGAAATGTGAATATAACCCGAGTGGTCCAATGATTAGTTAGGTACCGGTATGTGATGCATTCACGTAGGAATGCGTATTGATTCTCTATGTGTGTGCTGTGTTCACATACTCGCGTAATAAAATCGATTATGTTCGTAGTAGTTAAGTGTGATCACGTACTCCGGTATAATGATATTATTATTTTATTTCTTATTTAAGAGCTGTGTTGTGTTCACATACCGATTCTGTTCGTACGTTTCCGCCATTACAGTGTTCTGTGTTACAATGAACTTTTTCATTTTTGTATTCAACCACAATCTTGTTGTTATTCATACTCATATATCAATCAGAATGTGATTTCCAAAACTTGTAGCAGTAATTTCAAACTAACACATGTACAAGTAAAACAGGTCTATCACTGACAATATAACTTCGATAATGATTATTTTAGAAAGAACACGAATATTTATATAAAAACAAATAAATAGTTGAACAGACATTATCTCTGAAATAATGAACATAAGCTGATTAATGTTCTAGAAAAAATAGTTTAGTCAGAAGGTATTATTATGTTTTCAAACTAAATGCGAGAGAGTTCAAAAGTACATGAACTGAGATCACGTGTGCAGTATCATGTGCACAAATGCAATTTTTTAGCCATCAATTGTAATAACAAGTATTTCTCATCCAACGTCTGTTAAAACACGATGAACATTATGAGTGTATAAATCACGTGATTAATAGCAATTTCTCTCTCACTCTTCTAACAAGAAGTTGAGCAGGCCTAGCAAATACGTTCCATTCCATCATCTCAACAGAATGGTGAATGCAAACATTAAAAGAACGAATGAGCGATTGCTAATTAATTCTTTATCATAGTGTAATAATGATATAAAAATATAATAAGATAAAGGCCCATTCAAAATATGCGATATAATGATCCAAACAATATAACAGAAAAGCAAAGTTTATTTCATGCTACTTAATAGGCTCACACATTAGTATGTTCTGGATGAAATAAACATACAATTTTGAACTATTTTTTCCCCTTTTCCTTCGACACCCGCAAAAGATGACGACTTTACTGTATAATATGTATATTCCAATCAGGTTTAAAACATTGTATTTTTATGTTTAGTATTTTTTTTTTTGGATTTTTTTTAAAGCCGTGCATGAACTGGGTTGCATGCGACTGATCTTTTTAACGTCGACCCACAAAAGACTGCCATACATCGACAGTAGACACGGAGCGCGTCGTCAAGCGCTCACATACCGGCGATAAAGTAGTCTGCCGTGACCCATGAGTGTGTGTCTGACTTAACTATTATGAGCAAGATTATGAAATGTATCCCGGTCCATCTTCATTTTTTTAACAGTTAAGTACACCACGGATGAGCTTCAATACTATTGGGTACACGAAGAGCCTGCTGAATTCCATGGAAACCATATGAAGTTACCGCAATATGAAATATCTGGTATCCATATCGGAGAATGCAATAAAGTATTAAAGACAGGTAATGTGTTTCATTCAATTAGGACACTTTTTTAATCTATACATTTGCATCAAAATAAAGAGGGTAAAATTAAAATTTACAATGGTAGAATGTTGAACAACAAAAACAAACATTTAAAGGATAATCCAATAAAGCTAGAAATACATTTGTTATTATGCTTGGTTTCCATACTCTTCCTTAAGCCTGGTTTCATTAAAATCGCTACACTGTCCGCTACAGTGTTTTCAGTGCAATCGTTGTACTGCTGAAGGCTCCCATTCGACCGACCAATCAACGAAACCTGTCGGAAATAGCGTGTAGCGATTGTATGGAACCCAGCTTTAGTGTTTATGACATGTCTGTATAAAACAGTGGTAATTAATATTTCATTTATATATAACCAGTGTACTGTAGCATAATCATTAAGTCAATTAATGTGAGAAAGCAACTAACTTCAGCCGTTTAGCACATGGGATGACACGTTAAGACGTTGGTCCCGTGTATAGAAGACAATCCTCTCCTCAAGAGAGGAGTAGTGCCCAATTGATAACCAGAAGAACACCAATGGTAATAAGTCTTTCGGTTAAGGTCAGGCAGTGACGTAGCTAGAGGAGTCAAGGAGGGCATGTGCCCCCAGGCACCAGGTTTGGGGTGGGGGTGGGGGCGCTGAAATGGGAGAATGAGAGTAAAAAAAATAACCATCTTTTAGAAATCTTCCCCCTCGTTGGGGCTCGCCCCATCCCCCGTCGGGTAAATCCTGCAATTCATGCACAAACCAACAAACGAATTTGTGTTCTTTTGTGATTCAAAAGTTCTGGATCAAGCTTGAATTACAAACAAATTATAAAAACAAATAACGTAAATTTATTCTATGTGTAGAATTAAATCAAAGATGCCAATACTGAATTAAAATAATACTGAAATAATTCAATTAAAGAGAATTGATATAGCCATATGTTAGGCCTATTAGGCCGGTTCACTCTATCAAATATCAATCATCCAGTCCAATCGATTTCATTTAGGTTAATGATATCGTTTTAATGATGACGTCATCAATCGGCAATTTATCCTAGACACTAGTCTCTCGCTTGATGTTATTTCCATATAGCATTTTTGAAATAAGTAAAGGAATTCATCTTTTTTTGAAAGGGCACATGATTGATGTCTTTTTGTTGAACCATTAATGTACACGTTATCTGACTTGAAATGTTCGATTTACGATCGGTGACCGTTTCTTGTTGACAAAGATGGAACTACAACTTAATGGTGGTGAATACAAGCAAAAATAACCAATCTATCATAATTTTATGATTTAAATATAAGTTTGACTGCTGCATAATGCAAAATAAAGTCATCACTTAATCAGTGTTTTTGAATATTTTAGGGGTTGTTCAACATTATCAACATTTTCACAAGTGTACAAACAGTACGCTAGGGGGAGGCAGGGGTGACGCCAGGATTTGCCCGATGGGAGGGAGGTCCCCGACGGGGGGCGATGCCCCGACGAGGGGTCAGATTTCCCCGACGAAAGCAAAGTGGGCGTGGTCGAGCTTCGATTAAAAGGTTTCGAAAATTTGACAATTCAGGGGTTTCAAAGGCTTATTTAAACGATTTTAGAGTCTACTAATATGTAGAAAATACTTAATAGGCCTATTTTTTTTTCTCCCCGAAGAATTGTGCTTTTTCTCCCCGAAAGGGGGCCAGCTCTCCCCGACGGGGCCCTGGTCTACCCCGGCCCCCGCTGGCACACCCCTGGGGAGGGGTATACAAATGTGTACATTATTACACATCCATAAATATGTTGATTCAAAATAACATGTAAAATAATGGTAAAATTATAATGTAACCATGGACATAATATTTATTTTTAAGCAACCACATTGCTTTAGTTAACTTCACAAAAAAAGGAGAATGGTTTTGCGAAATAAACATTTCTTGTACACTTTCAGAGAAGAGGGAGAGCGTACCGAAAAAGAGTACTGTTTGTACACTTGTGAAAATGTCGATAATTGTGAACGACCCCTTAAAAACTACGCGTACAGTATAAACATTTTTTTTAACATTCATGCTTTTACATATTTTCACTTTATAGGTAAATATTCATGCATCGTGGTTGAATATCTTTTTAGTCGGAACATTGGATACTATCTACTACAGACATACATACCTAGCATTCTGCTGGTTGTAATGTCATGGGTCTCGTTCTGGATAGAAATAAAAAGCTCCCCAGCCCGTGTGGCATTGGGCGTGACGACAGTTCTTACGATGATAACTGCGACCAATGGTGTGCGAGAGGACTTACCGCATGTATCGTACGTCAAGGTATGGATAAGCTAGGCCTAATGAAAATTGTGTGATAGTGATGGTAGTTCATTCGTTCCTCTATTGAGCATCTAGATATGCCGAGTCAGTTGACTGTAACGCAAAGTAGCTTTAAGTGCACCCGGTACCCAATAATCGTTAAAATTGCGCGACTTTATCGAAAAACGCTGATGCCGCCTGAAATCTCAAAGGCCTACATCCTATCTAACTATAGTAGATGTCTTAAAATATAGGCTTACATTAATAAATATGTTTCGATTAGAATTTGTAATATGTTTGCTGCGAATACAAGTTACTGTAAAATTCATGGCCGACTGTTTAGACGATGTAGTTTATTATTGAAGCAAGTATCTGTTTTTTCTTTTCCTTCTTTTAGGCTATTGATATTTGGTTTGCCGCCTGTTTAATATTTGTCATTGGCGCTCTACTAGAATTTGCCATTGTGCATCATTTCTCTGTGACAAAAGTGAAAAATAAAAACCAATGGACCAACTCTCCTACAAAGGTATAAATTCGGAAATTTTATTAAACGTTGTTTACGTCTGAGCATGTTTTGTTTATCACTTCAGTAAAATCTTATTAATTCGTTCATGAGCAGAGGGGAGAGAGAGAGGGAGGGGGAGAGCTAGTGTTGGTAACGGCATTTGGTGTATACAATATATTTGTCGTAACCTATACGAATAGGTCTTGAGTTCGCATTTATTTAAGTAGCGGTTTTTGCAATTGGTCAATATAATAATATATAATATATCGTGTATGTTCTTTTACAGTATGCGACATCAGATAATGCTGATGTTGAAAGTTGCATTAAGCTAACTATAGTGGACAAATCTTTCGACAACGAAAATGCCGATGACGGCCGAAGAAGACACGATCGTAGGAAAAATTATCGCGACACAGCTCCGCCACGTTCTCCTCCTTACGATACACAAGCAAATCAGCACGGTCAAGTATCCATTCTCGGATCATGCTGCCATGGTGAAAAAAAGGATGATAGTTATCGTTTTGGTAAAAAGATTGACATGTTCTGTCGATTCGCCTTCCCTCTAGCCTTTTTTATATTTAATGTTGCATATTGGGGATATTATGTGAAAAGCAAAGAAGAACCTTCATTTGATATTTAACCACTCGAGATTCTCTGATTTTAGTATTCGATATAAACGCTCAGTAATAAACAATCTGGATTTGAACAATATTGTACATAACAATGTTATGTTACTTATCGCCCCAAGATGTGACCTCTACACGTGTAACTGTTGTAACATGCGAATATTAGTATAGGCCTAAATCTCTAAAAATCGTTGTTGTTCTACTGGTATATGTTAACAGGATACATGTGTTAGGCCTATGTTTACTACCTGTGTCTTTATCTACTTCATGAGATGTAATTAGAAAAAAAGAGTGTATTTATAATATGTACAGGGTATATGTATTTATCTGAATAAGAGTTAGAATGATGCAACGTTGTAAATTAAATTATGTATTGTTAAATCAATTTATATTGCGGGATTGTTATTTCCTACAGATCCCTAAAGAATAATTGTGAACTGAATAATGCATTTAATGATCACTAATTATTAGTGATCATATTTTATTTTATATACTATTCTAATAATAGTATGCTGGTCCATTGATAATTAAAAATAAAAGAATGACTATATAAATAAAGGCAGTGATTTAGAGAGTTGTACTAGACGCGAGCTGATATAAGTTTACGAGTAAATAGGCAAACATATTCCCCCGCATAGAAGTGCACGCCCCGTATAGAAGTGCACATGTTTGTTTATGACGATTTGTATGTAGGAAAGATACAGAGTTGCTGTTTTTTCATAATATCGTAAAAGCTCGAATAAGCGCCGCGGCTCTTATAAAATATATTTGAGGCTTCAGTGCGGCGCTTATTCCAGAGCAGCGCTTATTCCAGAGCGGCGCTTATAAAATCCCATGTTACCACCTATCTCACGTATTCCCGTAGTTCAGTATGCCTAACATAGGTCCTACGTCATTGTAAATAAACGTTTATAAAGAAATGCTTGTGTCTTCATTGTGTTATTTATTCATTTTAACACTGTATACCTTGTATTTAAAACCATGTTTTCTCAAAAAGTTTCATACACACAGGGCAATTACTCTCGATTAAGCGCCACGGCGCTTAGCGAAAAAAAATCAGGGCCGTGCTTATTCAAGCATTTACGGTACACTATACAATTTATTCTTTTATTTTAAAAGACCTAAAAATGGCCGTACTTATAATGAAGAAATGCAGAAATAAAATAGTCAATTATTTGAAATCTACACATTTTCCAGTTCATGATTGGCTGTAGTACAGCACGTCGATTAGTTAGTATGTGTATCGACTGTTGGTTGTAATAATGTAATAGAACATGTCATGTACTGCAATACGTTAGATATAAGACTATTACTAAAGAATGCATAAAGATAGAGTCCCTATTGTTCCCGTACGACGCTTTGGGTCACGTTGCCTTCAGATAATATTGTACTCACATTATAATAAAGTATCATAGTAAAACTTATTGTGACTATTCATAGAGTGTTATCTTGCCAGTAGGCCTAAATGTATAAACATCAATAGGGCCTATTCAATAGAACTAAAAGGGAACTGGAATTCTAAGCATGGTGGTCCATATCATTTTACGAGTCTTACCCCCAACAACAAAATTTCATGGTTACAAATTGATTATGCAATTATTTTGCAAAAAATGAGTTAATTAATGGCGTAGTAGGTTATCGACTTTGCTTATAACTCTGGTATAGGGAATTGAGGTGGGAACAAACCGATATAATTAAGGTGGTAGATTCATACCGAAGCGGAGCAAAACTCTTAAATCACTCGAACTACTGTGGAATGAAAGAGAGGTGACAACATAATTCACTGAAGAAAATGTACTGCACAACAATAGGCTTAAGGAGAAAAAAAGAATGAAATCCCCAATGCAAAAGAAACGATTTCTATTCACGAGCTTTTGCGCCCCAAACGGAGTGGTTCACTCAGTACAATAATATAAATAGATATTGTTATAAAAAATTAGGTCAGCTTCAGTATAGATATCAAAGAAAGATTAAAAAGAATTGAACAACAACTGATTAAAAGTCAAAATGCCATGAAACGCAGTTAACTCCGATGGAGCTTGCAAGACTCCTGCAGCTGATATCAGGATATAAAGTGAGAATTTTTGAAACTTGTTTAGCTAACCCGCCGCCCGCCAATAATAATGACTTTGATAAAAAAACATTTTCATTTTTTGGCCAATTAGCGCGCTCACCGCCACGAAAAAAAGTTTTTCTTTATCTGTATTACGGCCGCCGCTGCTGCCTTGAAATATTTCTTCCTAATTAGGCCTACATAAATTTAAAGCATTTAACACTGTTTACATTCACCAATAAAATTTTATTTTTATTTTCTCCTCCGTCTTGATGTTTTTTTGCAAAACTGTTTGCTAAATAAGAAAACAAAACTTTACTTAAGATTAAAAAAAAAAAAAAAAAAAGCTCGAAGCAAGGTAAAGGACAAATACTTTATGTAATTGAGAGAGGGCGCACTCTATTGAAAAGAAAAACGTATTGTATCAAAGCATACTCTTTGATCAAAGATAATAAATAGTTCTATGAGCGAGTATAATGATCGGTGATCGAAGATGTTGGTTTAGCTTTTGTTGGTAGGACACGTGTATTTAGTGTTTTAATATTTGCCTAGGGTCTAGTAGGGCTGCAGTACAGTGTTTGGTGTTATGTTGGCCCAAGGCCTTCTTTGCCTAGCACTGCAGAAGGATCAAAGTAAGTGTCTAGGCCAGGCAGGATAGGGCCTAGGCCAGGCAGGATAGGGCCTAGGCCAGGTTGGCTAGGCCTATGGCCTTGCATTTTGGTAGGCCTGTGGTTTATCTGGTTTAGGTTAGGGTAGGTGTAGCCACTAGGCCTAGTAGGCCCAGAAGGATGATTTTCGAACTTAGGCAAGAGTCCTGCTATTAGGGCCTATAAATTATGTTGATCTTCATTTTATTATAGTACTACAGTATATATTGCAAACATACAATTTATTGACACAGAGAGACAGTACACAGATTCAATGTGTGGTCTGCAGGATATGTTGGCATAGCAAACATTTCACTTCAGAAACCAATTCGGCCAAAAACCAACTCGGCCCCAGACAACACTTCGGCCTAAAACCAACTATTTTATTGTTATTCAAGACCGTTACTGTACAGCGGGTTAAAATAGTTGGGTGGTCCCTGTGTTGTTAAATGAATTGTTGACTTTTATTATCAGTTTTTGCAAGGTGCTACATTCATCGAAAAACATATTGGGTGTTGCCAATCTAAAATAACAGTTTACCAAAAAAATATTTACCAGAAATAACAGTAGGAGCACCTGTTTAATTCCAAAGTGTTAGATTTATTGAAAATTAAAAAAAAAAATAAAATAAAACCCTGCTGGGACCCCTACTGTTAAAACTTTTCCGTTGTGAATTGAAAAAAAAAACATTGTATGTAGTCAGTTTGAATTAAATGTACCTGAATAAATCCATATATTCTTGTATTTTGTTTTGCTTTATATTTATACAAATATACATTATTTTATAAAGGTATGTTAAGATTCATCTAAAAAATAATTAATGGGACTAGTAATAATTCGGATAATATAAAAAATAAGTAATAAGAATAGTAATAGGCCTAATGAAAATTAATATTAGGCCTATATATAATATTAATAATTAATAATAATAATAATACTAAAATAATAATAACAATATAATAATATAATAAATTTTATAAAATATATAATTCGGATAACATAAAAATAAATAATAAGAATAGTTATATTTAAAAAAAATATAAATAATAAATAATATTAATAATTATAATAATACTAAAATAATAATAATAATTGTTTTGGGTACATGTAATCGAGATCGCTATTCATCTGGGTAATTCCGTATCATTTGGGTAGTTGTCGTCTGGGCCGAGTTGGTTTTGGGCCGAAGTGTCGTCTGGGGCCAGAGTTGGTTTTGGTCTGAGTTTGGGCCGAATTGGTTTGGGCCGATCTGGTTTTGGGTCGATTTGGTTTTGGGCCGAAGTGACCTGCTACCAACCCTACAATACAATATTCTGTTGTATATTCAATTTTAAAGACCCCTTTCAATATTTACTTTGACCTATTAGAGATGCTGGCGGCACCCTACCCTCTGATAGGCAAAAGATCCTCAAGGTATAATAGGAGAAATGCTTGGGAATTCAGGATACTGGTTATCTTCTTCTTTTTTTTTTGTGCCAAAAATACAAAAGCTACATGGATTTAATTTACATATGTCATAGTTATATATATTAATTATTAGGAATTGACAAAAAAAAAAAAAATTATATGAAATCATTTTTTCTATTTTTATTCAACTTTTAAAATCATTTTCATCTGATCTCTTTGGATGTTGGCAAGTACGAGCATGCTAGGCCAAGAATGTGAAAGCACACAGTGCTACCGCATTTGCCTGTGGCCTGATGGACGCAACAGCAACATACAGTAGTACAGTAGTTCGGCCTATGAGTTAGAACGAAAGCAAAAAAGAATTTTCAGGATATATGCAATCTATTCGACTGTCTTAATATTACTTTTATGGAACTATGATGCTTACCAAACGTTGCTGTAATGATTTCTTGCTAAGTAATTATTTTAGGCATTCATAAAAAAAATGCAAAATGTTCATCAAAGTTAGCGTAGCATCACCAAGTAGCAACAGATAATTCATAGGCCCATTCGAGGCCCTTTTTACCAGCGCGGAGGCGGCCGCCACACTCTTTCACTTTCTTGGCCTAGGGCACTTGCAATTGGCACCCGGGACAGATTTTTGAATATTTAAAAACTGAGGAAAATGTGGAAATAAGTGTGGTTACTCCCCTTTTCCCCAAGTTTTTAATTCAAAAATCTGTACAGAATCTCATTAACTGCTACTGTACTGTGAGTTTTTCGTCAAATATGCTTTGTGTCTCAGAATTTAAACCAATTGTACAACATCAACATTTTGTTTTGCTCCAGAGCCTGCTTTAGGCATTCATGACTAAACCTACAAAAAGCTGGATTAATGAACGTTTATGATAATTTCTTATTATATTTCAATTTTTTCTCTGAATTCAGAACATGACTGAGGAATTAAAGAAAATACTTTTGCAGCGTATATCCGAGGATCGCTTGGCGTGCGACGTGATTTGGAGTCTCTTTTCTGCAGCATTGTTTAGCTATCGCCATGACACTGTGCTCAGGCCATTTCCATCTGATTTCATAGACACTGATAGAGAAAAAGATTTCACAAACCTAGTGAGTTTTAAAAACTGTTTATAATATTTCTTTAGATTTGTTTGAAGTGCAGTATTACTGGTAATTATTTAAAGGAAATGAGGAATATAGCATAGTGAAAAATAAGTTCTAGGTAAAGTATAACTTGGAAATGGCTATCTCAGTGAAGTTTGTATCTTATCTTCTATTATATCTTGCATAACATTTTAGAACTCTCTGTAAATGTATTGTTTTATTGTACAGCCTATATAGCTACAGTATGTTTCTTGTGTTTTCGTCACAAATCAAATATTGATTGGTGAACGTTTGACTTGCGATATCAAATACAGTAAATAAATAATAATATAATGCATCAACTTGTTTGACATCTGTACTGGGATGTGGAAACCAGGACCCACACACCATCAATTTTATCATTTAATACCATATTTATTCAAATAAATGCCCGGCTTTGAATAACGCCCCCTCGAATAAATACCTCCCAAGAATAAATTTCCCCTCAAAAACCCTTCTCAACAGTGAACAGCCTAGGGTGTTTATTTATACAGTAATTAACATTGTCATCAATTAAAACTTTTTTTTTAAAAGTTCATCATTACACACCATCAACTTTGTCGTTAATTTCTATTAGCAATAGGTGTACAATATGTTCTGACAGACCTATTGGTTTTTTTAAGTGACTGATCATCTCCATAAAGAATTAAATAGGAAATGACCAAAAATAATTACAAAAATATAGTAATTTGATTTATCAATTTAAATTTAATTCAAGGCTTATTGACACTATTGCAATTGTAGAAAAAAAGCTGAATTAAATACAATTTAATTATTTACATTAAAATTGTACAAAAGCAATGGTTTAAAAATTTATCCTTTCGATATAGATTTTCACACAAATATTTGTGATAATATTACTCCCATTCATTCATAAATGATATGCAAAACCTTGAATATTTTTCCACTCCCAAGAGAATTTCTCTAGTCGTATTAAAGTGCAAATCAACATACAATTATATTCACATCATAACATAAATCCAATGTTATTCTTGTGTAATATGCATGCAGTAAGTACTAATCAAGGACATAGCAACAAATTGGACCTTTTCAAGGTAATTGACTGCATAATTATGATATGTTTTCCACACAATGCAACAAATATTTCAGTAAAATTAGACAAATATCTGTTAACCTTGCATTGTATTTTATACAGAAAAATGATGTGTTTTTTTTAATTAGTTTATTAGTCTGTTTAGGCTAGCCTATATAGTACTTGAAAGGTAAAATCGATATTTGAATGGCTTACTTTGTATATATTTAATTAAGTTATATTATTTAAGTTATATATTATTAATGTTATTATTAGCATCAAATTGAAAATGAGAATGACATAAAATAATCCTTGACTTTACTCTGGTGCATGAAATAATAATTTGGCTGATAATCAATTTATGATTTTGTAAAATTGGACTGAAAATCGTATATTTAAAAAAATGTTTGTATTATTTGAAGTTGATAACTTTATAATGGTTTTAATTTATCATTTTTTTGGAGGGTTTTTTCACAAGGTAACAAACCTTATAATTTTTTTTAATGTATTTTTAAAAAATTCTTTTTTAGGAAGCAGTTGCTAAAGAAATACCAAATCTGAAATTGGTATTAGATGCAATAAAATCAAATCAAATTGCTGAGCAGGCTTGGCAGCTGTTGACATGGGTGATAGACACAAAAACATTTAGGCTCAAAACACAAGACCAAGAACAGGTACCTAATACTTTTTATAAAACTATTTTTTAATGAATAAACTATAAAATAAACCTGATATTATAATGATGGTGTATTCTCTGTTCATATTATGTAAATAAATGGACAACAGAATGATTTAGTCAATGTCACCAGAAAGAGCCGGAAGAATAATAATACACCTTGTTGTTCCTGGAGTGTATGTCCCACCTCCACCATTTCAACACAACTTTAGGTTGAGTGTGTGGAAGGGTGGACATACCAATGTAAAGTATTGACAGTTTCAAGAACTTTGGTGTGATAGCAAATCTGCAATGTTTGTATGAGTCAAAATTAATGAAAAAAATGACATTGTTTTTTTCCATTCATATATACTGTCTAACTAATTGACAAAATATATTTGCTTTTTTTTTTATCTTAACTACAGTTCCAAAATATTTTAGAATTAACTGGTGCAGCCAGCTATGAGGTGAAACCTGATCATGTGTTTGAGGTGGAATACTGCGCAGCCAATGAGGACAAATTCAATAGGCTGCGGCAGTCCAGAGACCTACTGTATGCCTACCACGGAAGTCGTCTTGAGAACTTCTACTCTATTTTACACAATGGTCTTCACTCGCATATGAATAAGGTACAGTTTATGTTAATTTTTTAATCCCATATTCATATCCTGAGCTCATCATTCTTCCATTGGCTGTGATAATAATAATAATAATAATAATAATAATAATAATAATAATAATAATGCTCAAGGCGCAGTGTCAAAAAAACAGGTAGAGAACAAACAGGAATCACAAAGAACAAATTGTAAACATGTTAATTTTTTTTTTATTATCAAAATTACTTACCTTCCCTTTACCTTTCTGTTGTGTTGATGTGTTGTGTTGTGTGATGTGTTTGTGTGTGTGTTTGTTGTGATGGAGCAAATAAACTTTTGTAGGTCTAAATGGAACTTTGACCTCTATTTGAAGATAATGGTATATCAGGCTTAGATATTGCTTGTTCACGCACACACATGCACGCACACACCCCTGCACACACACACACACCCACAAATAAAACTTAACTATTGCAGGGGTCCCAAGTTGGGAGAAATCACTTCTGGGAGATCTCGAAAAAATTGAGCTTTTGTAACACATCTAATTTTATTTTGGTGTGTGGTGATATCCATTGGCACCAGGGGTTTAGCCAGAAAAACGAAATAGGCTGTCTAAAATGGAAGCCAGTGGGAATGGCACTGAGCTGATGTGCGGGCCACGCCCATCTTTGTGAATCCCCACCAAATATTGGTACGAAAACAACGTACATTCAATGGCTAAATGTTGTTTTTATCAAACATAAATATGATTTAGCTTTAGTTTAATGTAAAATTCGATAGATTTGAAGAATATAAAAAATTTGCTAAAGGTAGACCAGGCCCAATTAGCCTAGGCCGAGCTGATTAGGCCAATCCGTCACGGTAAAAGTGGCTGTCCTAAATAATTGTAGGCTGTCCAAAAGACGTCCGGACGGCTAGCTGGCGAAGCCTATGATTGACACTGACTTCCGTGAGACAATAGATTATAAAGTAGTGAAAATTTGCAGATATTATGAACTTGCGGAAGAAGGGTTATTTTCCATGAGAGTCTTGTTTGTTTTGCGGGAGTGCAGGAGTCAGTCTGACTCCTGTTTTCCGGGAGACTCCCGCAAATTCTGGGAGACTTGGGACCCCTGGATAATGCATGTTTACACATCCCACCCCATTGATCGTCTTTACGAAAATTACGAAAATGGTTGATGGAAAGAATAGATTGCTTGGTGTTTTCTTTATTGTTCATTTTCTTGTTCATTTTAATTCTTTCTAGACCTCTTTATTTGGAGAAGGGACTTACTTATCAAGTGACTTAAGCATATCATTGCCATACAGTCCAACTTGTAAAGGATGGCAGAGAAGTCTACTTGGAGAGAGCTTAAGCTGTGTAGCAGTCTGTGAGATGATTGACCATCCAGATGTCAAATGTCAAACTAAAGGTCAGTGTAGAGGGCTTGGAAAACCAAGCATCCTGATTGAGAGGGATGTGATACAGCAAACTAAAATGTATTAGGGACTCGCATTAAGATATATTAATATTGAATTACAGTAAATAAATATAATAAATATAATTTAGTTATTATTTTACAAAATGTAAAATATTCACATTGTGGTATTCCTTGCTCTTTTTCACAGACTCAAAATCAGGGTCAAAGGGCAGAACATATGCAGCTAATAGCATAGGTGGTGAGGTTCCACAGAAATACTACGTCGTACAGAATAACGAAGTTATACGAGTCAAGTATCTACTTATTTTTGGCGGCAAGAAAGATGGTCTCAAAGTAAGGTGAGATTGTAGTCATAACTGTCTCTTTATTACATTCTGTATTCAATTAGAAAATGCTCTAATATATATTCATTGATGTTGAGAATGCAAATGTCTCAGTGATGTTGGAGCTCTGTGTTATACATTGCTTTTTGTTTGTTTGTTTTTCATAAGTTATACTAGTCATTCCTTAAATCACAGCTTAAATGAACAATGTTTGTGTTCCCACATCGATACACTTATCTCAAAAACAATAACTATTTTTATTCTAGATAGAATTTGTTAGCACAATAGCACAACAGTATGTATAATGCTAATACTGTATGCTCATTATGCAATGGTAAGACTTTCCTGAAGATGAAAGGAAGATATTTAAAATATTAAATCACAATGATTTGTATCACTTTTCGGAATACTAATTTACTTTTTAAGAAAGTGCAGTCAATCGTGTATTTATATACGGTACCTGTTGGTGTTTTGTTTTTGAAGTAGTGCAATCAACCAAGCAATTCCTTTGTGTCATATGCTCTTTATTTATGCATTGAACCATGTTGTTTGTTTGGCAGTCTCATGCACATTCTTTCTCATGTCTGGGCAATGGAGCCATATTTGGATTTCGTTAGCTCGATGACTTGGCTAAAACATTTTGTCCTTTTTTCTATTAGATCGGTGGACAGAAGACCAAGATGGGCAATGTGGATACGAAAGAATTCTTTCTTATTAGCGATAATTTTTTATACTCTGGTACTATTATTTATAGGTTTGTACAACTCTAAGAATGCTAGAAAGTTCTTAAGAAAGTATTTATTATGAATCTGATAAATTTTTATTTTGAAAAATATGTCTTCCTTATGCATGGCCTACATTATTAGCTACTGTATTGCTATCCATAGATATTGACTCACAAGCAGTTCACAAGATTAATTAGAGTGAGCCTTTTTCATTCTGCTTCATTTTATAAAAAAATATATAAACATCCTCAGCTCTCCATTATCTTATTGGCTGATGTAATCCACAAACTGTATATACATCCTCACTAACCTTATTAAAATGTGAAGTTCATATCCCAAGCTAGCCATTCAGTGATTGGCTGATGTTATGCACAACCTGATTTATATCTACTTGCCCTTGCTGATATTAATAAAATGCATTGTAACAGGCATTGTAATCTTCCTCAGCAGCCATTTTTCTGATTGGCTGATGCAGTACAAATACTTGCTGACATATTGGAATGTACTGTATACATCTACAGCTCAACATTTTGCAAGTGGCTGTGGTAAGACATGTTGTTAACTTACAAGTCACAGTTCCTAGCCGTACGTAGAGTAACTAAACAATCAAATGTACCGGTAGTGAATATATATACCATATTACTGCGAATACACGCCCGGCTTTGAATACGCACACCCCTCGAATATTGTCCCCTCTAGAGCCTCATTTGGATTAACCACCTCCCTTGAATAAACACCCAGGGGCCAGAGTATATATGTATCTATTTTACTGCCAAAATTTGTAATTAGTCAGGGCAGAACATTATATACGAAGTTCATTGTAGACATGCTTTAATATTTTTTAACTGATAATGGAAACTTTAAATTAATGAAAATGTCCAATGTATAAAGTTTCCGATAAGTCATAGAGAATAGTTTATTGCTAGGAATTCCATGGACATTTAAAGAACAAATAATTGTACTGTATATACAGTATGTGGTTACATATATTATATTATTATAATTCAGTCACTAAGTGTTTTTTTTCATTGTTCTAATCCAGAAGCGACTGATTGCTTATGGTGATGTGATGCTCACTTCCGCCCACCCAGTCATCCCCTATTAGAATCCTTTGTTCCCCCCCCCCCCCCCTCAATTTTAATATTCCTAGATACGCCACTGATTTACTTTAACTGCATGTCACAGATTGGCAAGGTGTGACCCACCGTGAACATAAATCACTTAAAGTTAAAAACATGCCTACCATCTTGTTACAGCCTGATGCCAATCATCTTTTTCAAAATTAATATTACAACAGATTATAAAGTGTTACAAAAGGGTTAATGAAGTTTTTTACAAGCACTCTGCTCAGATTTTTACCTTAAGATGTTTGTGTTTGCATGCATTACTCATATCAGTAACATGAAAAGTACACATCGGCCCTCCAACCAATTTTTATGCCCACCCAGTGACGTAGCCAGAATATTTCTGTGGGGGGGGGGCAGTGTGGACCTGTGATATTATGTGGGGGGTACAAGTATTGTGATTAGGGAAGAACCTTACGATATAAATGGTTATCTTACAGTATGTGACCTCAGCCCGTTTGCTCTCAAATAATAATGTATAAATCAAGTGAAATTTCAATAGTAAGTAAATTCCAGTAAATGGCTCATCATTTTAAAGCTTAAAATGTGGAGAATAAGAATTTATTAAACAGTCAATTTTCATTTGTTTGGCCACTGATGCTGTTTTTGTTATGGCTTTCACAAATAATTTTAAATTTACATCTGATAATTTATTTACCTGATGCCCTGTTGTTTTACTGAAATTCATGAATGTGCCACTGAGCAGAATATTATTCCGGATATCTGCTGCAATATAAATATTAGTGATTGAACACTGATATAGATATCATGTACAAACACTACTATCACACACCACTATTGTTCCATAAAACAGGTTTGCTTGTTTATGCGATTGAATATGTTTGAATGACAGAATATACCTGTAGCTGTATAGTTCTTTAGTTTAGCTTTTGCCACAAATGTTATGATTGGTATTCTGATAGAAATGTGCATTAGTACTCAAAATTGTAAAACAACCAAAAATAAATCTATTTTCGTGTTCATATTCAAAAATGCTTAAATATTTCAGCGCAAGCATTTATTTTATTCAATTGATCACATTTCACATAAAAACAACTAACATTGCACTGCAATACATATTTTAGTCAATAATAGCTTTGTTATTGTAGCATACCGTAAAACCTTAAATTAAAGCCCAATGGGCATGATCTCGTCACGAAGCCTATCTCGAATTGAAGGCCCCTCTTTAGTTTGCAAAATTAGCCTAAAAAAACAACCCATGGGCTTCTTTTTAAGATAGCGTAGGCTTCTTTTTGAGATAGTACAGTACAGTACATACACTGTACATGAATTTCAAACATGCTTGGTTTATACAGTACAGTAGTTTAGGTGATTTAATACCGGTTAATACACTCAATGATACAGATTAATGTTACAGTGGCCCTATTTAATGTCTTATAGTACTAATCCAAATATTTACAGCATTCATTTTTGAAAAGAAGCCCCCCCCCCACTCTTTACTTTGCAAAAGTAGCCTTGAAAAGAAGCCCACGGCTTCAATTCAAGGTTTTACGGTATGTTATCAATATTACAAGGTGTCTTGGCCTAGACAAAACTGTGCTTCAGCCACCCACAATTAGTAGAACAAAAAAAAAGCTGGGCTTCGTCCGTGGACACTGCCAAAAATTGTCAGCATTCAATTGAACATCTTATCCCCTACCAAAATTTTGAGCCACCAATAACAGTATGAATAGACAGCAAATTGAATACACCAGTATGAATGGACAGCAAATTGAATACACCAGTATGAATAGACAGCAAATTGGCTTCAGTATATTAGACAGCTTTTCATTTAGTATAAAAAAAACATGAAAGTTTGAAACATTTAGTCCTCAGATATCATTGAACAACTCCATTGTTCTCGCCCTTCCAACGTTCAATAAGTTCCACCTTGCAGCCTAGATCTCGCAAGGCTGCTTTTGCTTCATCTGGGCACTGCTTGCTGGCCTGCTGAATCAACTCTTCTGCACCTAGCTGTAGTATAGGTTCACAGTATTCTTTTGTCCGTGCTGTTAAATTGCGAATTGCCATGCATGCATTTGTCTGCGAAACAAATTATCAGATATAAATCTAGGATTATTTGCAAAATCCATGATTATTAATAACAAATTGATAACAGATAAAGCCGGTTTCACACTAGGTCGAATTTATTTGCTTGAATCAAAAGCGTAGGTTTGCTTCCTGAGCACTGATTGGTTGTGCATTTTTTCGGTTCGCACTACTGATTTCGCTGAGATGTGAATGCGCATGAGCTGACGCTTTTGATTCGCACAAATAAATTTGCTTAGTGTAAAACTGGCTTAGAATGACTTACTGTCTCTATCCACACTAGTACGTTGTCACAAGTTGTATTGACAAATACCAGTGGTTTGCCAATATATGGACATTATATCAGACCAAATAATAATGAAAACAGCAACAACATTAATGAAAATATTAAAGATGATTACAGTTGTTATAGCTTAAGTTTACAGTACTAACCTGTACTGAACGATTATTAGGATGCACTGTCATTGCTTTGAGGATAACAGTAGGTCCATCACTTTCCATCACCACCTTGCAGTGACCCGTGTTCCTGAGAACAACAGCACTTAATGCTGCACACCCCAGTGCACACACCTCAAAAAAAGAAAATAATTAAAGCTTGCTTTCACAAATCATACAGTACCAATGGAATATGCCCGTCAAAGTTTGTCAATTTCACAGAGAGCTCAAAAGCCTTACAAAAAGCCTCACTCCCAAAAATAATACAAACAGATATGGGAATAGTGCATTCCCATTTCTCACTCGTCGTTTCAATAATCAACAAAATAATTAAGATATTAAACGTCCAACACCGTTCTATTTTAATGAATTAATCTTAAAATACTTGAATACGGTACTATTTCGAATTGTATATTGTAAGTTTGTATTTGAGTCTTTTTAATTTACAGTAATTGTATATTTTTATATTGTAATTGAGTTTTCTGAATTTATATTGAAATTTTAAGTTTTGTTTTTATGGTAATTTAGCAAATTTATATTTTTATAGGTTATATTTTTCTACTTGTATTCAGCAGGCTTGCTACAATTTGGTATGTTTTGTAATAAATAATAATAATTACAATAATAAACATAATAGACACTAATATGGGACTCGGACCAAAGTGGTCTTTACTTGGAGGGTCTAAACAGTGGCGTATCTAGAAGTCTTGAAATGGGGATGCTGATGGGGGTGTGAAGGTGAAGTGGGGGGGGGGCACGATTATCAGTTGAGGGAGCGCTAATTTGCAAAATAAGGTGATTTTTACCTACTTGACCATGATTTTGGGGGGACCCCGCACACTGCCTAGATATGCCACTGGGTCTAAAATCAGAGTGGTCTTTCTTTAGAGGGAGACCTGTACTAGGGTTTGGAACATACTGTACCTGCGCTTGTTTGATGTGTTTATTCATTGCATTTAAAATGAAGCCTATGCCACCCGAGTTGACAATTGCAATTTTGACGTCATCGTTACCAGCAATTGCTTTCAATACTGCAAAAACTTGCTTCACTATTGCCTGGAAAACACAATGTGCTTGAATGAATATAACAAACAAAAAAAATACTGCTGAAAATATTGACATTTCCTGAAGTGCATTTAGTATAATTTAAACCATCTACAACTTGATGTACAGTAAACAAACTATTTACAGTGTAAGAGGTTTTTCATTTTTACCACTAACCTGAGACTCCAAATTTTCAGCCAAGATCTTAAGAACAGACTGGAGGCCACCAAGGTCGACCACATGTTGACAAAACTCGTTCCTGACGGCAAGTTTGCTGAGCATTGAGCAAAGCTCATACAAAGTTGAGTTGTCTTGACATGATGGCTCTTAAATCAAATTTCCAAATTATAATTTATTAAAATGTGATTTACTTTCAGAAACTATGTGACATTTAACATTGTTTAACATTACTGTATTGGATTCCAACACTGATAAATAATAATAATGTTAATTATATTAATTTGCTTTGAGCAATAAGGGAATTGGCCGTTTCAGAGGTGTATTTCACCTGTTAGCCTTTCCCTTTTTCAGTTTAAATTTAAGATAATACACATTACCTGCATCCAATGACAGCAAGAGGTGGCCTATACAGTACTGTATGTATAGTAAATAAACAATTTACATACTGTATTTGTTATGTTAATCCAATACCTGAAAAATAAACTTCAAACAGAATTTGACTTACTTTTTAATGCATCCAATATGACTTCAATGGCCCCTAGTTCCACCATCAACTTGGCATGTTCATGAGCCTTGCCAAATGGTGCTCTGATGTCATCATCAAGGGTCAGTGTTGCCAGCGATTTGCAGGCTTCTGCAACTACCTGACTGCCAACCTGCTGGTCCCTTAACACAGATAACAACTTCTCTACCAATCCGTTTGCAACATATTTCTGCCGGTTCATCTCATGCATAACACATGTTATTCTTATAACCTTAATTATTACATAGGTAACATCTGTACTTGAATTTTCCAAATGACTTATCATGAACACTATTCCTTTCAAAGTGATTAGATCCGGCTGTCCATTGCATAAGGACAATAATGCTTCTAGTACAGATTTTAGAATGCTTTCTCTATCTGCATAGCGTTCACAGAGGGAAAATAAAACTGGGAAAGCATCTTTTGAAGCAGCTAGACATCGATGTGCTAAATCTATATTAGATTCCTGTTGAAAGATTTGCAAGCTTTCTTTAAGTTCTTCATCGGTGCAATCTCCACCATCAAGTATCTTTGTTAGTTTTTTTAAAGCTTCTAAAATGGGATGATTTGTTTCTGCTACAGCCTCTCGTTGAAGGTAGAGTGTGGTTACAATATTGCTGAGGTTCACTCCCTGTGATTCAAACTGCTGTATTACAT